AGTCTCTCTGGATGCTTCAATCACTGGCATCGCCATCTTGGCACTTGAGAGCATCTGTCTCGTGGCTTTGACTGGCTTCTCGGCCCTTCTGACACCCTTGTCTACCCCTGGTCAGTCACTGTCGCTCCGCTGAGCGGCTCCCCTGTCACTCCCGCCAATGTAACACACCCATGCTGATTGATTCTCCTGTTGCTGGCTGGCTTTGGATTCTGGTTGGCTTGGCGCTCTTTGCCACTCAGGAACCTTGTCACTCTTGTCTTGTCTCTCAACATGGCAACTCAGCTTCTGATTCGCATCTTGAATTTTTCGCTCACCAACGAGCCCACTGTCATCAAAATATGTTGGGCCCAATCGCTGTTGAAAGATGACGCTCTCAGCTATAACGTATCTAATCCTTACGGCGAAGCATGACATTTTTCGCAAATCAATTGGTATATGCGTATTTATTAATTCTTTCTTATAGGCATGGACTCGACGATATAGATCTCGGAACACTCCTTTCACTTCAACCGCCTAAAGTCTTGCCACCTCTTGAACAAAAAAAAATATTTTAACCCAGAAATCTCAAGGTGGTATTTGTGACAGACCTGTTCAAGCGCCATTTCCTTTGGTCGACTCTAAATGCAAGTAACCTCTTGTGGTGAGCTGACGTTGTCTATCACACACATCACATCGAACCATGCTTTTCTACATCACAAACAATGGTTGATACTATGTATGTTGATCTAACGCATCTCCGCATAGTCACTCTCTGGACAGACAGAGACAGAAGGGTTCCACTGTCTGGCCAACACGACGACTGTGTCTATCTGGTGGTGCCGTGCCTTGCTGGTGCATTGGATGCAGGTACGGATGAGAAATATCGATGTATCCCATGCTCAGGGCATATCAGCCACTTCCGCTGAAGTTTACAGGACCTGCAAAGCTGATGGCGTGGCATCTTTCCTCTTACAGCAGTGGGCACTCTTCGGTCCGTTGGTGCGATGTCTCCAATGTTGACAACGACGCCATGTGAAAGCTTGCAGCCACCGATCTAGGAGGCTAGCAGGCCAACGACATCCTCAACCTGCTCTCATATGAGATACTACAGAGGGATTCGTAAATTTTTGAGGAGAACGCAAGCTTGAACAAGTCCTAATTGGCCTCCACTTGTTGCATGTGCCAGAGAGAGAGACACTCTAACGTTAGCCATTGACTTGTGTTTCTTGTAAACGTGGAACTGGCTCTCCATATCGATGGTTGTCTTCCCCGCAATCTTTGCCCCAGACAACTCAATCTTCCTCCTGCCCATTTAGCGCGTTAGCTCATGGCCGTCGGGAAGGGATTCCTAACTACTAGGTAGGTAAGGTATGTAATTAGCATGTGAGCCCTAAGTATTCCCGACTATCCTGCACTGCAGCGAAACCACATCTGAATGGGAAGTTCTTTTGGGTACAGTAGTCACTAACTAAGCTAACAAAGGAACGACTTGCATTTGAGATATCCCTGGACAAAGGGGAAGGCTCTTCGAGGCTTAAATCGGCCCCGGTTCTGATTCCTATTGCAGATATATGGCGCAATATTCACTCACTTCCCATTGATTGTCAAATTTCCAGGATAAAATCGCTCGGAATTATTTAAAATCTGACAGTTCTTGCAAGGGTCCAAGTAAAATAGCCGTCTACCTACTCCGTACTCCGTCGCAAGGCTAAATAAAAGTCTACCCTTGGCATCTGTCAAAGGCGTGGCGCTCCGGATATATCTCTTTGGTAATGCTATAGACTGGGAGTGTCTTATTACGACCAGTGATCTGATTCATTGTCTAGTGAAGGGTTTGTCGACTTTGTTGTGCCTCACGCCTGCATCTATGCCATGCTTCCCTCTCCGAACCTTGCATGTATTCCTCCAGTCTATACAATTTGTGGGTGCAGCGTCGAATTCGGTATGTTATTCAAGGATCTGCCCATTACGAGGCTCGCGGGAATCTTCCCCGGTCTAACAATACATAATTATATGCATGACACCGACTTCGGCAACTGGTAAACGTAATACATAGTCGAACCAAAATAAGTATAGGTCTCAAAGCTTGGTCAGATATAAGTAACATCCATTCAGTCGGGGGTGGATTCTCTGTCAAACGAAGGTCTCTTGGCAGCTCCGTTGGTGTATTATCTCCGATTTAATACCAGCATATAAGCAATGCTGCATCCGACGCTTTCCACTGTAGCAACACCGTTTCGATTCGAGACGGTCATATTGCTCGAAGTTGCTGCCAAATGTCGGATGTATGTAGTAACACACTCCCTCATCTTTTGTGAATTGCGGCACAGCAACTGACTGAACTTCCCCTGTGAAGGAGGGTAAGACATTCAGATCTGCAGCAACTCAAGCTAGCATAGATCGGGATGCTCAAGATTTGAGACGGTTCATGGCCATGTCTGCGAGCTGCCGTCAGCTTGAAATGCAATCTCCGAAACAGGCCTTTCTAGAGTGTTTATTGTCAAGTCCTCCGCGTTCTAGTAGCGTAGCGTTACTCCGTACTGGTAGAACAATTAGAAAAAGTCAAAAACGCTTTGTGGAACCCGGCATTTAAGGCTTCCGACCATGAGAGGAAAAGGGCAGTTAGTTAGTGGTTTTTTATTAAAAGCTGAAACGACGGGTAAGAGTTGAAACCGATACTGACAACGAAGCCTATGACACGGGCGTCAAACCCACCCCAAAGTTGACTTTCCTTCTTGGCTACGTTAGTCGATGATCCGAGCCCTGCATCCGGTTGCAGTGGATATGAGAAACCCCTTGTGTCTGTCTGTGCAGGAGACTAGCTCCATCTGGCCGTAACTCCGAAGGATCATTAACATCAACCGTCTGGGATTCTTCTTCCAGTCTTGCACAGACATCGAACAAGAAACTCTTCAATTTCTGGCGTTCCGATGATGTCGTTGAAGAGTGATTCTGTCCTATTGAATGAGCCAAGCTCGGTCTTTGCCCTAGTCCAATGCATATGAGTTTTGGGGTCAACGAATATCATATCATGCCTCTGACCCTCGTCGATGAACCCGGGTAGTACTGGAAATGCCCGGAGTATCATTACAAAGGGCTGTACCAAAACTCTTCGGCCAATATTTGCAGTATAGGATTAGGATGCCGGGCCACATAACCGCAGCAATATGATCTTCACTATGGATCCGTTGTGGTTGCTTTGCTCGAATGTAACCCTAGAACCGGAGACTGGGAGGGCGACCATGTGCCAGATACCAGTCGGAAGTTTGAGAATCATGTCACAACCTTCTAGCCACGCATTCTAGACGTTCGACATTGGTCGGGATTGCTGATGCCTGTCAGGTTGTGAGCCTAGTTTTGGGTATTGGTGTTCCTTCTCTTGGGCACGTCAAGACGGTAAGGGCCATGGCTGAGATAGCAGTCGCCTAACTTCTGCGTTTCATGATCTTTCCATAGGGTTGTTAGTGCAACCTCATTGCTCCGCCATAGGCCGTCTATGTTTCAATCGCGTACGTTGGCGACTCCAGGCTGGGTAACCGAGAGTGATCCGCACACAGCGGACGATATCCAGATGCGTGGGCATTGCACGGGTTCAACACGATAATCTCGTGGGCCAAGACCAGAGACCCTGATGATCAGTCACAAAGCCCTTCAGTCAGCCTTTACGGGAAGGTCTTGCGAAGAGGCAATGAGAGCCCAATATTCTGGAACCAAACAAACAACTCTTAAAACCCCATCGAAATGCAACTCGATCACTCGTTGAGGAACCTGCAGGAAGTGGGAAAGCAACATGAGCTTCCTCTTACGACCACTTGGACCGAGCGTGAGACGAATCCTTGTGGACAGAAGAGGAACAAGGCTCGCTCAAGCCTTGAGCCAGTTCCAAGAACTAGAGAAGACGTTTGAGACCCTTGTCCCTGGCCCGGGGACCAAGCGGCGGAAACACGACCACTGGAACCGCTGTGATGGGCGACAGGGACTATGGCCTTGAAGTACAGCCGTTCGGGAAGGATCAGAGCTGATTGTGATATGGTGTGTAGGTAATATATCAGCGACAAAACTTTAAAGCATCATAGTACATAGTGTTGAAATTCCATCTTGCGTACATGTGATCTGTATATTTGCGGACTGTTGAGTCTTGTCGCGCTTATGTTGAGCTGTTGTCTCTTTGGTTTCTGATCTTGGACAGCATCAATGTGAGACTTTGAGGTGGTCCATGACACCACCACGAAGAAAAGCACACCCAGCTCAGACACGGATCCGACTAGATCCGAGTAACATATTCGTCAGCGTCTTATAAAGACGGGTGTTTTGTTATCCCCAAGTTGATACAAGATTGCAATGCCTTTCCCATTAGATGATGAAGAGTGTAGGGTATCTATCTATATCTTGTCATGGCAGAACACGTGACTAGATGTATCTGACAGCGGTGTCGAGAGGAGTTATGAGATTTGCCGTTATGCTTCTTCTTTAACAAAGTTAAGGTATGTCGAGATTTAAATGCGATTACTTACATGTAGTCTTTCAAGTAATACGAGGCCCTGAATCTATAATTCGGGTCACCAGAAGATGAAAATATATGTTGCTGACTCAGTGTCAGAAGTCACTCACGCATGGATGGAAATGGGTTATGGACTTGGCAGATAACCAGTGATGGTAAGAAGGGTGGATTAATTAAGTTTTGATATTGGTATATTCAGATTTATATCAAATCTCACAAGAACAGCTTCTTGTGTTGCCAAGTACTGGGCTGAGGTGAACACTGTTTTTTTTTTGGCTGTTAATCTGCCCCGCTGGTGTTGTTTGTCATTCTAACTTCACAGAGTCGCACAAATGACATAACTTGTGACCAACAACTGTGTACATCAATCAAGCTCTAAAACCACCTTCAATCCATTGTGCAGTTGTACTACGCCAGCTATAGCTACTATACATAGTACAGTCTCGTATTGGATTCAACATAGGTAGCGAATTGCCTCAAACCGATTGAGTCACACAAATCATATCACTCAACGTCAGCCATGAGCAAAGACACTCCCCTTGTGTCATCTCGACGTCTCGCCAATGCTGAAGGCGATCCTGTCGCTGTTGTCCGCGTCCGAAATCTCCAAACGACTATTCAAGGCCCCAAAGATGCCTGGGGTCGAGGTTCTAAGCAGCAACCTCTTCTGATATCCGCCGAGGTGTCACTGACGCATGCGTTCCCCTCATCGTCGTCAGACGACAAGGTTGCTTCCGATACCGTTCACTATGGGCTCCTCAGCAAATCTATCCTCAGCACGCTGGACAAGTTGCCCAGGTCAGCCCTGTCGTTGAGCGATGTGCTCAACAGGCTCTGGGTTGACCTTACTGGTTTCCAGTACACTGGCGTGAAGGAGCCTTCTGCCCAAAACACAAAGGCTTTCCTCGACACGAGCCTTATCCGAAGGCTCTCAGTCTCTCTCGTCCTGCCCAAGGCCTCGTTGATGGGAACTGCAATCCGACTCTCGGGGTCGTGTCTCTTCGCCGACTCAGCCATCACCTCGCGTAGTCTGGAGCTGGGTCTGGAAGGGATCAGAGTGCCGACACTCATCGGTGTCAACAGTAATGAGCGAAACGCTAAGCAAGTCGTCATCACAAACATCCGCATCGACGAATACCAAACCGCACACGATGACTATGCTGTCATTGAGAGCATCATTGTTGATGTAAGTAGATTACGAAAGGGCTGGTGGACAAACATGCTAATCGTCACAAAGGCCATGTCAGAATCGTCATTCGAAACTCTCGAGGCTTTGGCGGCAAGTCTGGCTTTCCATATTGCCCGGGAACTCAGGACCAAGCGTGACGATTTCTATGGACAAATCATTCGCATTGGACTCGAGAAGCCAACAGCAGTGCCTCTGGCCGAGGCTGCCTGTGTAGAGCTCACAGTCAAAACCGAAGATGTCAAGATCGAGGTCTCCAAGACGAAAGACGTTAGGTTTGATGATACTAGAAACCAGATTGCGCACTCGAATGACAGGAAATCGTAGTGCACTTAGGCTTAGGTAGAAGTTTGATACAGGGAGCAAAAAGTTGGTCGCATATGCCTATAAGGCTTCTTGGATGTATTATTCCCTTTTTAACTACTCAGATTCACTTTCTATAGTCTGAACATGCTGTAAATGAGGCAGTAGGTAGTATTGATTAACGTATATGACGTTACCAACACGGGAGCTTCGGCATATTCAGCATCTTCCAACGAAGACGCGTCGCCGTAAGTGATACCAGTTTAGTGCCTCTCAACACTCACTTGTGAACCTCTATCCCTGCCCGTGGAACGTCTCCCTTGGTGACCTTCCTTACAAAGTCGGGATCCGGGTTGAAGAGCATGACGTGAAAGTGCTGCACAGTATTGACCGATTGCAAAGAACGCCAGTTCCTAAACCAAAGAACCTATGCACATGAGTCTCACAGATGGATCACGTATATGTAGTGACAGGAAAGACTCACGTTCTCCTCTGGGATATGCGCTCGAAAGGTCTTTGTCACGAAATCATCAATCTCTTTCCTTGCTTTGTCCGTCAAATCTCCCGTGGCGGGATCTTCTACGAGGTCGAACTTTGTCCACACGACAAGGTGCGCTATTCTCGGATCTATTCCGTAGGGGGCATCATTCCATAGGATCTTATAATCGTCCTCGAATTCAAACGGTGCTCCGCGCGGCGTCACTGGAGTACTCCATCCAAGACGATGTTCATGAATAAAGTTGGCGACACTGCCGTACTTCTGTTTCAGAGAGAATGCGAAGGCTTTGTAGCGTCTAAGCTCTGAGGGAACACGCATGAACTTCTCCAAGCGGTTTGTTTGGATGATGTCGCGGACCTCAGCCCAGGAGAAGATGTGGTACTCTTGGTCTGGGGTGGAGAGAATGCCTTGATCTTTCTTGTGGAGGCCTTGAAGGAAGTCAGGGCACTCTTCGGTTCTCTGGTCCTCGGGGATGTTCATGTTCCAGAAAGGAAGAGTTTCTGTGCTCCCCATGGTTCCTAATGTTGAGTGAGATGAAGTTACGGTGAGACGGACTCTTCGTATTATTGGTGATTATATGGAGAGATCGAGGTGCAATTCCCAGACCGGATGTTGCCTGTAAAGGAGCCAGTTTCAGCGCTACTTGAAGTTGATTGTCTCTTTGCCCAATATCTGGTCATGCGGCGTGTTCTTGTGAGGTTGAAGTTCCATGAAGGGTTGAATGGTATGGTTGTGTCTCCACAGAGGGACACGCCACAGATAGGAGGGTGATAATGCAGAGAGGCACGAAAACCATGGCTAGTTGTAATATTGCCTAGTCTACTGGTCAACCATATTGTTTTAATTCATAAAAACTGTGAATCAGGCATCGTTATTGGTTATTTATGATAAACAAGTGTTGTTTTTGTGGTAGATTCAGACCAAGTTTCTCAATTGTTACTCCGTACTTCAGTAGAGACATCCAAATGGGTCCCTCTCGGGACAAACTCCACTACGACGGCAGATAAAAGGAGTTAGAGGTCCGGTGAGCCACTGCAATGCATATGACTGTCGTCTAGCTTCCGTGGTTGTGGAGGAGATGTCAAGAAGCCCAGAGAAACAAGTGACGTGAAGCTGATGCCTTCAGTGTTAACCTCATTGCTTTAGTAGGTAGGTTGTTTCTGTGCCAGGTATCCGTAAAATGGTGATGAATCTAGGGTAGCAAGATGAAAATTACTGGGTAGCTTCTCGTCCAGCCTCTTATCCAATGCCAAGGCCACGTGGAGTGATATAAGCCTGATGGAATACAGCAGGTCGAAGCTTGCATTTGACAGGCGTCTCTAAATCAGCCATATTTTGGTCTCCATTCTCTGACTGATTGGCCACGGAACGGAACGGGAGAGGCGTAATGTGAGCTGGGCTCCAAGTGTTCCAGATCTTCAATGGTTACCTATGCCTACGATATTACATACTCTCGGCCTTCTGATACATAATAATCACAACGCTTATGTCCTCTTCTCTCTTCAACCTTGTAAGCAAGAATAGGCATCTTGCAGGGAGATCGACCGATGTACTGTAAAGATAGCGTCAAGACTAGCCATGATCAACCTCGTTGCATCCACTTCTGCTCATTTCGACTGGGCCCAAGCCTGTGAGGGTCCAACAAAGGAGCCAATTACAGAGCCGAGATACTTGCTGTGTCTGGGCGTGAGCTTTGGAAGCTTTGGGAGCTTTGGCCCCGTTCCTCGTCTTCAACTCTGGTTCACCGGTAAGAGGAGCTTTGGACCCTGGGGCATAAGCAACATGAATCAATCACCTTGTTGAACCATGGCAAATGGATGCCCCAAAAGAATCAGAAATTCACTCAGAACAAGACAAGGCGTAATGAGCGGTTTGTTTGCACCCAGGGGCAAATAGTAGCATATTGATGAGGGATATCATGATGGTGGCGGCACACCAAAAAAAATCAACCATGATACCACCCAATCTTAATCAAGGTTGTCTGTCTCCCTTATTCTTATTCTCTCTCATTCTCGGACTCAATGACTGCAACATTATATCTGCAAAGGACCGATCTCGAACATCCAGCCCGCAGGGAGCAAGGAACTTAAGACTTTAGAGGAGGATGCTAAAATAAACTCAGTAAAGAGCCCCCTAAGTGTAGGCTAGAGCTACCTGAATATTTTCATCGTTATGGATAGAGGCTCCCCTAGCCAGTCTACCAGTCTCACCAACCTCGCACCTCGAGTGCTAATAATACCACAGCGGTAAATGGAAACAAGATACCGGGGATCCTGGCTGGTTGGCCCGCCGCAAGCCTACAAGGTGAGAGATCGCTGGTGCAAGTGGTGAAGTGGTGGGGTTTAATCCCCGTGGTATGGGTATCGTGAAGGTGAGCAGAAATGAACAATTACGACAACTCGATGATACGAGATGTGATAATAAACAACAATAGGGGAGACGAAGGCACTATTGAGCCTCATCTCACCTTTACCGCAAGCCATCAATCATAACTGGTCGGGAAAGATGAACAGGGACAGGTACCAGAGCATGGGGAACAAGCCTCCATTCCCCAACGGCCAGGGAAGAAAAAAACAAAACAAAACAAAACACATGGTAGCTGAGATGGCCTAGACCAGGTATAGTACCTAGGTGTAGTGTAGTATGTACTGTATCTCCAGTATCACCGAGTTAGTAGACGGTCTGCTCGACCATTGCGAGCTGGGTTGTCACCGCAAGTCTACGAATCTCGCCTCCTATGTTACCCAACCTTTACTAAATCTGCACCAACAAAAAGAGAGGCAATTGCTGGAAAAGGACAAGAAGCAGAATCAGTTGAGAGAGTGCAAGACAGAAAGAGAAGGGGAAGGGCAACAAAAAAAAACAAAAAAACGACTCGACGTCACTGTTACAACTTAGATTGCAGAAAAAGCGTCAATAGTTCTAAACTGCTGTCGTTGTTGGGCTTCTTTTGTCCGCCTAAGAAAAAGCTCCCTCGCCACCCCCACCAAGTCTACAAGCAACAGCTGCAAGCCCGGCATCACCGCCCCGCATCTAACTCTGGTGCGCTGGTGCTGGTGCTGGTGCTGGTGCTGGCGCTGGCCTCCCCTTTCCCTCTCGCTCCCGTTCGTTTATTAGCTGCTTGACCTGCTTGACCTGGTTACCTTGATTCATTCCTCTCCTCTCTCTCTCTTTTTCTCTCCATTAACAACTTCTTGATCCTTCTCCTCTTTCTTCCTCCCCCCCCAAAGGCTATCTGCTACTCCCGTTGGCTCCCATCGTGCTACTCTAATTCCACCTCATTAATATTCTCCACGATTCGACCGACTGACTCCCTTCACAATGGCCAGTGCTATCAAGAGTGCGCTGCCTACCCACCTCAAGCCCAACAGCGGCGATGAGCAGGGCAATGAGCGTCGTCATGGCAAGACGCGCAGTCACATGGTGAGTTGATGTGAATCAAGAAAGATACTGCTTTACCTCCCCATCATCACATGCCACACCATACAAAACAGATGCGATTGCGTACCTTTGTCCGCCCACGGCGAAGCTTCACTGTATCTCAAAAGCTCATTCGTGACGCTCATTATCAGTCATATGGATGTCGAGGCACTTGACATGGCTGCAAACAGGCTCGCTTTTCCACATATCTTCACATTTTTCAGATGGACTTGGTTACCGCTCGCGCATGCACTCGAAGCTTCATGGCTTTAAAGTTCCTCGATGAGGGTGCAAAGCTTCGTCCTTCTCTCTTCTTCAAAAACAGCCTGTATCATATTCTTTACCAAAAACAATACTAACCCATCATGCTCCAGGCTTTCGAGAACACCTCCACCAACGTCGCTGCTGCTCAGATGCGAAATGCTCTGACCAACCTCGCCGAGACCGTCAAGGATCCCGAACAAAAGAAAGCAAGTCCTTCAACTAGAAACGTGTGATTCCCGAATCAGTCAAGACTAACCAGACGGCAGTTGTTCGAGACTGAGATGGACAACTTCTTCGCCCTTTTCCGACGATATCTTAACGACAAGGCCAAGGGCAACGCCGTGTATGCCTCCCTCCCGACCAGATATATGCCACAATACGACAGTTGCTGACGATAGTTTAGAGACTGGGATCGCATTGCCCCTCCCGCTCAGGGTCAGGTTGTCGATTACGAGGATCTTGCCAACACCGAGTCTGTCCAGTTCCTCAACAAGCTCGCTGTTCTCAAGCTCAACGGTGGTCTGGGAACCTCCATGGGTTGTGTCGGCCCCAAGTCCGTTATTGAGGTCCGTGACGGCATGTCCTTCCTCGATCTTTCCGTCCGGCAGATTGAGTACCTGAACCGTACCTACGACGTCAACGTCCCTTTCATTCTTATGAACTCCTTCAACACAAATGACGACACTGCCGCCATTATCAAGAAGTATGAGGGCCACAACGTCGATATCCTTACCTTCAACCAGTCTCGATACCCCAGAGTATACAAGGACTCTCTCCTCCCCGTCCCCAAGGATAACGACTCCCCCATCAACGAGTGGTACCCCCCTGGCCACGGTGACGT